ATACACTGTGAAACTACTTGAATTGCTTTAACTGTACTTCTAGAACATTTTAACAATCCTTTAATAATACTGCTAACTGTGATATTTGTCACTACAATCATGATATGAAATGTTCACCCCTAAGCTCATCACCACTGGCAGATTTCAGCAAATCCTTGTGTTATTTTATGCCAATGTGACAGAGAAACAGGAATTCACTTGCATTGCATGAGATATTTACATTGTTTTAAACGTACATAAGGTTTAAGTCACGTTAGTTACGTTAAACCTAAAATCAGATGACATGAATAGAAAGTATTGGTCTTTGTTGATAAGGGCTTCCACTGATTCTTTTTTTTTTTATCTCATTCAAACCAGACTGTCACAACTTGTCAGTGCTCAGTAGTTTGACAGTAAAACACAGTCACCATTAGCATTTTGTGCACTAAAGTCAATCCTGTCAGATTTATTATCTCCACGTCGAATTTCCAAATGTTAAAACTTTGCCCAAACTGGTTATTTAACTCCAGGAAAGTGACTTTTTTCGGGTTCGATCACAGGGATGACGCCTCCTTGTTGTTAGCTAGCAGGCTAAGCTAGCCGGTCAGCGGTTCAGTTAGAGTTAGCTTGTTGCTAAACGAGCAAAAGTTAGTTAAAGGCGTCACCTGTACACATATACGATATATAAGAAACCAGAGGAGTGTGAAGTGAGGCTGTTATTTAAAAACATCCATGCAGTAACGAGAGAATTCACAGTGAATGGAAACACTCACATGTTGTCTGCCACCGCCGAGACACGGGAAATGATGCAAGCTGGAGTCAGAGCCGGGGCGGAAGTGACGACTATACGCTCACTGATGTCCTCCGTCAAAATAAAATAAACCAAACCGCCACCTGTTCTCTTGTAACATTTAAACCAAGTGTGCATGTTCTACACACAACTTCTCATACTATGGCAATTTGAAAATAATCTATTTATCTTGTGCAAAAAACAACATCAAGATAAGATGATCCTTTATTCATTTATTAATCTCATGATGGGGAAATTTGCAGAATTACAGCAGGAAGAGTCAAAATAGGCATCAGCAAGTAATGAGTTACATGCAATAACTTAAGTGTATGGAATGTTTTTTTTAAATAGAGAGATTTAGAAAAATATGAATGTCATTAAACTAATACAGTGTAAAGACGGGAAATATATGTGCAGTGTGAGAATAGGTACATTAAATGGATTGCACATGAACTGTTGATATTCCACAGACAGGTAATTCTAGCACAGTTAATATATAAAAGTTAAATGTTAAAATAATGATAACTTTACTTGTACTAAATAAGGTTACAAAGTGCTTCACACAAAAAATCCAAGGCAATGTGAAACCTCTAGCAGAACCAGAGTCAGTGTGGACAGCCATCTGCCTCAACCGGTTGTAGTGGGTGCAGTCCATAAAGGTGGTGCACGTAATGTTTGATAGGAGCAGAGCTGGTTTTACAGTGTTACTGCTGCAGGAAGGAATGATCACCTTCAGACACTTGGACTGAATCATTCTGTTGCTGAAGGAGATGCCCAGTGCTGTGAAGGTGTCCTGCAGGGGGTGGGACTGTCACATTTCAGTTTTGAGTTTTTTATTAGTCATATGCAAGTTATCACAGGGACAACAGTGCCATGAAAGATGTAGGGCAAGAAGAAATCGATTAGCTCAGCAGTGTGATAGTTAAATTAGGATTAAGCAAAGTAGAAAGAGCTTACTATAAAAAACTAAAATGCTATACAAAATTATGTGACATAGAAAATAGAGTAGTTGTTAGAAAATGACTCCTATAAATGTCATGTCATCTGTACAGTCATTATACTGTTAGTACTCAATGAATCCTTATGTAGTGCACCTGTCTCAGCCCATAGCATAAAATATATGTATTTTTTAATTATTGTTATGGAGATTTATATCTAATCGTTTCAGCCTTGAGTTCAATTGTGATTAAGATATTGCGTTATATAAAAAGTCTTCTGAATATTCTGCACCACTTATGTGTGAAAATGTAAGGAAAATGCCAATACCTCTAAATATAAGAACGATATATAAAAACAATATAATTAAATACACTTTATCAATGTCATCTAAAAGTTAACATTATGAATATAAAGAGGGTTTTTTATGGATTGCATTACTTTGTTAGTATTGTGGCTGCATTGTAGCTGTCTAGGGTTATGGCTGTTTAATTTTAACTTATTAAATCTCACTGACAGTATTTTTTTTTTAGGTATGTTAATTATGTCCCAGCAAGATTAATTAAATGGAAACTCCAGAGGAATACAGGAAACAAAGCACCAATACAATCTCCTCAAATGAGGAACCTGGCAGTATTTTTGCTCATAATTTTAATTTCTATTTCACTGAATATAAAAGTTTGTGAATCATATTGTTTACCAATGAAATAATCTCTTCCCAATACATTACAAACATTAATTTAGCCACTTTGTTTTCAAGGCATTTTGCCTTCCCTTCAGGTGGCTAACAAAGCTGAAGAGAAGGCCTGCTCGAGGACCAAAGAGCCAAGATAATAAAAGCTGGAATTGAAACCCACAGAGTAACAATGTAGACAGACTGGGAGTTCAATGGTGGAGTATCTATATTTTATCAGTAGATTGGTATGGCATAAATTGCAAAATTTGCAGATTTTAAAACAGCGTTCAACTTCACTGTTTTCATTTTTTTCAGCTGCAGTGTAAGTAGGTCACTCAACAACTCTACATTATCATGTTATTCAATGTGTTCAGAGAAGCAGGAGACACAACAGAAACAACATTAGATGTTGGTTTGTTAACAAAGCATAGCTTTATTGCAATGGTGGAAACATAGCGGCTTATTTCTGCTGGGCTGCTGCTGCTGCTTTCCTTGCCGCCTTCATGCCCTTCTTGTTGTGTTTCTTGGCAAAGCGCATGTTCTTCAGGAACTTAGGGTCCACCTGCAACAAATAAAAAAATTAAAATGAGTGAACAGGCCTGGTGAGCATGAGGGTCACACATCTGAAAGCTGTGCAGTCACAAGGCTTCTTTTTTATTCTGACATAAACTTCCAATGAAATAAAGAAAGACATGTAGGGTCAAGGAGATGGAGATGAAAATGCAAATCAAACTTATTTACAGTAGTATTTAGATTAGATGTATACGGTTCTGGTTTCATTCAAAAAGTATGTGATTGTAACAGAACTTGTTTACTTGACTTATACAAATCGGAAGTGGCTGAAATGACAATGAAAACTAATCAAAAATCATAAGAGGAAAAACAGAGTATTGCTTATTAAAAAACTATGAAATCTAGTGATTTCATCATGTGTGTAAAATAGCTGATGCAATGTATGCCAGTAGGATTCACCAAACCACAATATACCCTCAAAGAAGTTTGTCTAAAGCTAAAAAGTGGCGTCAACACTGACAACTCTGACCATAAAAGTAGAATTATTATCTGGGTACTTGTGAGAGAAGGGCAGGGTGAACTATTGTTTGCATGATAAAGAAAGTGTCCTGTGGCGTAAAAGTACAGTGGGTGTTGAGCAAAACTTAGCTTCATCCTTTGATACTGACAAGAAAATCTGCATTTCACGAAGCTCTGACGACTAGTTGCACCTTCTAAATCTGCTGGTTCAACATAAACAGCAACTGACAACAGGACCAGATCCAATGATACATTCGGAATTTTAAAATTCAGACTGCCGAAGTACCATGACATTCTCTAGCCTTAAGAAAACAGGGGGAAGGAATCTGTGGGCACCTCATGATTCATTTTCAATGTCAACAACTTGATGGTAAAACGATTATCAATGCATCAAAGAATTTTATTTCTATAGTTGATTCATTCTTTATCACTGTGAGACTAAACAATGCATTTTCACAAGCCTCATGATTTGTGCTTTAAAAAAGTATTTTAGACTGTTACTGTTGTTACAAGTGAGTTGTAATTTACAAAATAGTCTGTTGAGTATATGACAGTGGTTAGAGCTCTCCACACTGATTTGACATTCAGTCAGTTCAGACTTGTGCTTCATCTTTATTCTTTACTGTATCAGCGTGGCCCCGTCTGACCAGAGCTCCTCTGCTCTTCTCTAATCCCTCACACTTAGAGATGATCTTTATAAGAGCCTGCTGAATCAATATTTATGTTCTAGGATAAACGGGACGTCGATTCTTCTGCAGCAAAGTTAAAAACTTTACTTCTGATTAGATTATTGTAAAAGTGAGTGCAGGTCACTGTAAGAGTGGAGGGAGGACACTCAGACAGGAGACTGACATGGTAAAAGACAACCTGACCTTTACTGTGCGTCTGTCCTGACCCTGAAGCAGGGGTGGATATAATTATGCAGCGGCAGGACATTGCTAAAACAATGAATGTAGCGGAGAACATGAAGCGATTAGGTTTGGTCTCTTCATCGAAAAAAAGGATTCATTTCCAAATGATGAATCATAAACTCTTAAAACTGAGTCTGAAAATTTTAAGGCAATGTCCATTTACTTATTACGACACGATGAGTAGGTTGAATTCAATACAGCGGTGCTTACAGTCCTTTATTTGAAGAATTGTCCGACTGAAATTGAAAGACTTTAAGCTTCTAAAGCTTCTGCACACAACCAAGCCTGTTCTATCAATGTGCATCGATCCCAACGCTCCAACAAAACCCCAGCATGGAGGACCTTGAATAATTACAAGTGGGTGAAGACAAGACTTCCGATACCAGTTATATCACAATAAAAGTATTATAATTATGACTTCATGACAGCATTATGTGAACTTCCGAATTTTAATGAGTAAAGTTCAAATCAAGATCTTACTTCAAGTGTCTACATAAACGACTTGGCTGTAAAACAAGGCAGACACAGCTGCCTCATGTCTGCCATCATCTGTTCAATGTTACTCTGCACGTTTAACTGATACTGGGATAAACTGCTAATACACAAGAACCAAGTCTAATCATACCACTGTCTTAACATCAACGTTCGACAGCCACTACTGCCACAACTCTTTTTATTCACCTTCCTCACCTATGATCTGTGAGCAGCAAGACTACAGACCTGCAAACAAATGTTTAAGGCTTCTTTCCATGTTAAATACAGATCTTTGACAGTACATACCCCCTTCAGTGACTCATAGCGCTGGGATGTGGGCTTCTTGATGCCATTCCTGTGGGCTTTGCGAGCTGTGAAGAGCAAAGGAGAAATTAGAGTCTCAAAGTATATCCCTAAATATACACATATATATATATACATATATATAACCCTAAATTTCCTTTGGGATTCGTAAAGTATCCATAAACCCATTCTTTTACCATTACACACCAAATAAGATACTTTGATTGGATATAGTGACGTGCATGCAAATAAAGGCTGAAACTGACTTCCTGTTAGAGCATTGACTATGATCTTTGACCATTACTCTGGGGATGCTTGGATTTTTCAGAGCTCATGACATGTTCACACAAACATTCAGAAAGATACCTGAATACACTGCACTGATCAAAACTTCCATTACTGGTGAGCTGCCACGAACATGAACATGCATGTAACTTTGTATTATCTTCATTTCACTTTGCAAAAACGTTAGGTCATTTCTACTGTCTCATGTTGTGGCATGTAGGACGACTGCAGGGTGAAGACTTTATTACAAAATAAAACTTGTACATGTGATAAATCTGGATTCTTTCAGTGATACATGAGCTTCACTGTGGCTCTACTTACACTGGTTGTGAGTTGTGTGGTTCTTTGACTTGGCCATTTCGACAAAACAGTTTTTTCTGAAGACAGGAAGAGAAACAGAGCATCTCAGTTAGCATCACTGGTATTTACTTGTCGCTTGTTTGGATTGATTCATATTCCTTCTCTTAAAACAATACACACATCTACGTTTGACAGATATTACTCGAAATAAACCAGCAGCTGTACACTGACGATATCAAAGTGTATTTCAAACTAAAAACACTATTTCTCCATAAGTAAACCCACAGTCTGTTTGCTAGCTAACGTGAAGCTAATGCTCTGCTAAGCGTTAGCATTACTACTAAGTGCTATTTCCTCTTTAATCGAGCGGCGCATGTAAACCATACAGATGTTAACACGTAGCCTGTGAAGTGCTTTATCAAAACCAGCAGCTGCTTCTGTGCGGACATGGAAAACACACGAGGATGAACGAAGATGTTAAGACTCAGTGAAGTAGGACATGAAGATACCTGCCACACGAACAGACGACAACCGGAAGAGAGAGAAACGCGCAGATCCCGGAGGAGAAGAAGAAGAAACGAGTCAAGGCGATGGAGTCTGTGAGAGGGATTTAATGACACCGCCCCCTGTCGGTGGATTCTGGAACGGCATGTGAGGATCCACAGTTGACCACTGGGTGTCGCTCTCTGCCTATGTGACCCCCCCCCCCCAAAGAAATGTCTCATGGACCTTTCTGCAACACAAGACAGTTCAGCAGCATCACGTGACTGATGTGAACTTCCTCTGTCTGGAAGCACAGGGGTCAAATGTTCTCTCTCCTCCACTGGATGTTTTCTCTGTCTGAAGGAGGCATAACTGAGGTCAGGTGTGCATCGGTCATGGTCAGGGAAGAAGAGGAAGAAGAAGAGGCAGAAGAAGAGGAAGAAGAAGAAGAGGAAGAGGAGGCAGAAGAGGAAGAAGAAGAAGAGGAAGAAGAGGCAGATGCAGTGGAATGGCGGCAATGCAATAATAAATGGAACAAAGAAGAAGAAGAAGGCGGCGGCTATGGTCAAGGTTAAAGTTGTGGTTAGACTTGTGAATTCCAACCTTTTTTTGGTTTGTGATCCTCATCAATCAATCAAATCAAATTTTACTTGCATAGCCTGTATTCACAAATCACAATTGGTCTCATAGGGCTTAACAAGGTGCGACATCCTCTGTTCTTAACCTTCAACTACCAAAAAGCGTCAGCTAAATGAAATGAAATGAAAAAGTCTGCGATGATGTAGATCATCAGAAAGAAGTGTTATATAGATTATTATAAATAACCACATGTACACATATTGGACATTTCTTATGATTTTTTTATACCTTTCAATTTCCTTCTTGTGTCCCACGGTGACCAATCCATCATGTATTTGACCAGTTTATGAAAGGGTGGTGGTTTTACACACAGTGATCATACAAATCTTTCACATGTTCCTCTATGAAATACTCCTCATAGCAACTTCAGCTGATTGCATGAAATGTGGTGATTGGTGAAGTCCTTTTTTTTTTTCTTCTCTAAATCTCAACGTTTCCACTTAAATCCAGTTTCAGCCACTGAGAGCTCTATCTTCATCACCACAGTGTCTCTCTGAGCCAGCAGAGATGGATACTTGACATTTGAGTGAGGTGTGAGGGTGATTGCAAATGAGGTGATTTCAGGACACGCTGAGAAGAAAAAAACGTGCAGCAGCGGGACCAACTGTTTCCAACAGATTCTCAAAATGAACAGAAAATTATGAGACACAAGGGTCTAATTAGACGGTGGCACCTGATTGGAGCAGTGGGTATTTAGTTAGAGCCGATTTTTAAACTCTTGATGTAACAATTATAAGAGTCAGAACTGTGAGATAATAACTCAAAATGTGAAATGTTTAAATGATTAGAGTAATCTTTTGAATTCCTGTACTTACTGTCTGATATTATTACGTGGTGAGAAAAGATTCTGACTTTTTGTCCCCAAATTCTAACTTAAGCTGTTTTCTGACACGAACTCTGGAAAATATTTCAGAAATTGCCCAGAAAATTATCACCAAGAGCTCTTGAATCTCAGTTTCTTTCCATTTCAACATCATCAAAGTCTTCGATGTGCATTGGCTCCTCTTTTATATTCCTCTTCTTCCAGTTTCACGTCCATCACACGTTAGAAACGTCATCAACACACTCACACTCATTTTCCGAACATTTCAATTGGCAGGAAAAGATCCAGAAAATGTCTTGGGCAACTGACTCAGAGATTCATGTTCTCACAAACAGCCGCTCTGGAAACTTTCAGGCAAATGTCCAGACTTCACTGCCAGTCAGATGTAATATCTCACGATCTCGATAAATGAAATCACTAAATATAATATAATGTATTAATTAATCTTCCTCTGTTTGATGCATTTTCAGAGTCAAACAAGTTTTTGAGAGAATTTGTAGAATCTATGAATTGCAGATTTATGTCAGACTATTAAGAAACATTTACTTCTTCAGTTTATTTGGAAAAAGACCAACTGAGTTGAACACATGCAGTTCTCACTGGACATCAAAGCTGCAGTGGACGACCACCATGGACAGACATCAGTCAAGACTAGAGCACAAAATTCTTCCAAATCACCAAAAACGTTTGTTGAAAATTACGCAGCTACTTCTTTCCGGTCTTTCATCCAACTGATATTCAACAGCAAACACACTTTGTGGAGATGTTGGCGTCTAATCAACCTGTCAAACGATTAAGCGTCACTGTGTGGAGGTGGATGGAGGGACTGCTCCTGTAAGTCTCTTCCCAGCACAGTGACAACAGCAGCGCAGTGACTTGATGGACAGATTGAAAAGCAGCCAGCGTCTATAGACAGATCCACAGAGATTACAGCGCTGCCGGCCCTCCCCTCTGTTGTGATGGATGGGAATGGATGCAGGGCCATGTTACTGAGCTAACACCTCTCTCTCTCTCTCTCTCTCTCTCTCTGACACGCACACACACACACACACACGCACGCACACACACACACACACACACTAAGAACTGAGGGATTTTTCTAAATATGGCTGTAACCTCTGGTCTCCTCCCTCCGTTCTTCCCTCTCTCTCTCTCTCCTCTCAGACTCAGCTGAGGTTGGGTGAATCCCTGCTCAAGCAGGAGAAATCATGCAGCAGCGTCCTATATTTAGACTGCGTTTGATCATATGAGCCTCTCCGCTCCACTCTGCAGCACTCGACTCACTCAATTACAGGGTGCATGTGTTATTTCATATTTTCTCCTTGATCCGATAGTGGTCAAGGGAGCACTGTTTTTTTCCCCACTTCCTTACGGTCTTTCCAACATGGTGGTTTCTGGGCAGCGTGGAAATGTGAATTTGAACCGAAAAATGAACACGTCCTGATGAATATTTTTTCTGTGAGAAATCTTTATTAATAAAGGTGGGATGGTTTCAGTTGCTTCTCTTAAAACAACACTCAGGGGAGCGCATACCTCCGCCAAGGCCCAACAGTTTTTAATTAAGAACAAGCAGCAGCAAAGATATCAGTCCTCTGAATAGGTGTGATTTATTTCCTCAAGATCCATGAATTAATCACTGAAAATATCTTTAAAAAGTCAGAAACAAATCCTGGATCCATCAGTTTGTTCTGATTCACACCAAAATTGAATGGGTTCTTTCTTGGCCCGTGTCCCATTCTTACACAAAGTTTCATGGAAATATATAAAGTGTTTTTTGCATAATCCTGCAAACAAATGAGCAAACAGATGGTCAGGGGTTGAACACATAACTATTATCATACACAGGCTCTCATAACCTCAGATCATTTCCCAAAATGCTGAATTATATAGAATTAATTTCAAACTCAGTGACCAAGGTTTTTGTACTTTAAAAGTGAATTCTCTTGAAATAAAATTATTCTACATATAAACACACACCAGTTTTTTCCCCTACATTTTTTGCCGCACTTTAACAGGTGTGTCTCTGCAGTAGCTTGAAAAAAAACACACACTGCTGACATAGATAAAGCTCCGTAACCTGAAAAAAGAACACAGGAAAGTTACTGCAGCAAGTCTATAAATAGTCTGGACCATAACCTATATGGAACATATCTATCCATTTATATATCTATCCATCTATCTATCTATCTATCTATCTATCTATCTATCTATCTATCTATCTATCTATCTATCTATCTATCTATCTATCTATCTATCTATCTA